TATATATATATATGAGAAAATAATAAAAATAATGATAATTATTATAGCATTATTATTGATTTTTTTTTCACCTGCAAGTCCAATATAATCAAATTTTGTTATTTTAAGAATATAATAATTTTTCATATGTATGTTTTCTTATGACCATTACGAAATAAATGTTACTGAAAGAGATGTTATTATCATTATTATTAGGCCTATTATTAATATTAAATGTTCTTCAAAATTAGTTTGCTCTTGTTTGTAATCATAACACACTGGGTACAGTAATTGACGGTCTTGTTTTCAACTCATTACAGGTACTTATGTGTAGTACTTCAGTAGGCAGATACTCCCGTAAAAAGAATAGAATTTCAGAATAGAGAGCGCCCAGTTTACAAAATACAGTACTGTTATGTAATACTATGTTAACACATTTTCTTATATTGAATTATTAAACCTGTTTATAACAACCATCAAGGTCCAATGTGCAACTTTGTGGTTCATGAACGGTTATTAAGCCATTGCCTTAAATACAAGAAACAAGAAATGAATCATCTGTTTTCTGTTTATAGGCATACAGGGCGGATCCAGAGATGTCCGAAAGAGGGGGAAGAGTGAGATCAAGAAACAACTTCTAGTGGGGGTGGGGTCTGGGGCATAATTTGTTTTCTACTACTAGACGTGCGGAAATAACCCCTGATGATCAGGTGTTTTGGGCGATCAATAATTTCTTTTTCCTTCTCTCTTTTTTTTTTCTTTTGTTTTTTAACTTCCGGAAGGAAAACCGCCCACTGCTAAATTCTGCTAAATGGCTCAGTTCGGCCCGGCCGGTAATCAGTCAGCACTGATATCTCGTTCAATGCGATCATAAGATCCGCCTCTGAAAATTTTCTAACCAATCAGTGGTCGGCTTTGGAACATCTTTTTACACCTGAGTGAGCAAAAGAGAGCGCGGATAGTTGATGCCTGTCTCGCGCCAAACCGCTCCATTCATTCATTCATTAGTTTTTGTTGTGTATGTTGTAACATAGTGCTAGGCCTACCAACACAAGTTAGCTTAGGCTTATATGTTCGTGAAAGGTGATTTTTTTTGTATCCAGAAAGTAAGTATATTTGTAAACCTACATAAGCCTTAATGGGCGCCTTAATGCTAGTATGTATGCCATACCATATGCTTGGTGGTACATTGGAAATACTGGGCCCAGAGTAGCCGCCTAACTAGCCTAGGCTAGGCTAGGGTAGAGAAGTACACAAAAAAAAAACTGCCTCAATCAAACTAACTGGAGAGGAGGAGTAGTCCTAGGGCCTTGTCAGGGAGCAGGCCGGGCTTGTTATGTTCTGAGAGGTAAAGGTATCGTCTAGACTCGGAGGCTAGGCATAGGTAGTTAGGAAATTATAATTAAGGATTATTGAATGAAGACTTCTTATGTTTTACTGTAACTGCATTACTGAGAGAGTCAGTTTTAGGGGGACACAGCCTGCCCCTAAATGTTTGAAGATAGAATTTAAAAAATATAGAAAAGAGGAAGATACATTCATATTTTTAATCTGTTGAATATTGCTTGATGTTTGTGGTTATTTTTATCAAATTGTTTGATGTTTTATGGTTTGTTTTTTTATTTAGGCTCATTGACTGCTGTCTTGCTACCAATTTTAAACAATGGAATTCAAGGTAAGCACAATAAAAAAAAAATGATTGAATGATAATTGTATTGGAAACAATTATTTCAGTTTCTGGTCACCTGTAAGTACAGTAAAGTCTTACTTTTTGTTGACAGCTGTACATATTGGTGTAAACCCAATAACTGTTTTGCAATTTAAACTGGTATATCTTATGTATAATGATATAAAGACTATTGGAGCTGCAGCTTGAAGGTGCCGGCTTTACAAAACCATGTTTTTTGGTTCAAATCCTGTCAAAACACTGGTATTTTTTATGTCACAACCAAAACATGTCCGCTCCCTACAGTTAAGCCTCATAATGAGACTTACTGTAATGTTAATCTTGTGCAAGGTATTGCCACCTATATGGACACTATACTTGCTAGTATTAGCAATTCTTGGCGAATGTTCAGACATTAGAATGACCCTACACAAATTCTTGGTACTTAAACTTATCTTTACATTTCTTGAAAATCATTTTTATTGTTTTTCCCCCTTAAATGTAAATATTGTTGATTTGCTGAAAAAATGGAAGTACCAAGTATTATTATGCTTGCTCCCAAATTCATGTATTAGGAGACAGATGTGGATGCAGGGGATGGTACACAGACAGGAAATACCGGAGAAATAACTGGAAAGATTAAAGCCAAAGTCATCATGGAAAACATGAAAGGAGACTTGACTTACGGAATCCAAGATGTTCCTCCGATATCTACCTGCATTTTTCTTGGCTTCCAGGTATGCTAAATGTGTAGTACTTTTGCATACATTATGGTCCACTATCTTAAAATCTTTGGAGAAAAATAATTTATGAAGATCCTTTAGTTCAGCAAGAAGAAGATTTGAATTTTAATGTTGTAGACAGCTGTTAAAATTGTTAAATATTTACTATTTAACAATTTACAAACACTAACCTGTATTTTAAAAATCTAGTAAAACATACAAACTGTCAAGGAGAGGCTAGTAGATATTTAAAATTAAATTATGGTTTAGTTTATATGTATTAATTAAAAGTTTAATAAAATTACATTTTTGTTCTTTGTAAATTTCTAGTATACAGTTACTGTATAAATATTTAATGTTTTAATGGTTGGTGTTTTAATTGTACATAATATTAACCATTGGTTTTTTATATTAAATTAACTAATTGTCTATTATTTATAAGCAGCCATGGATAGATCACCCTCTATTAATCACGAACTAGCCAAAGTTGCATCTGACTACCTCTGTTAAATCAAAAGTCACAAAAAATATAATTTTTAAATGCTAATTATATCTGAAAAAAAGTACTAATAACAAAATGATGTACTTTAGAGATCACCAATTTTGTCACATCACCAGAAATGTATGAATATTGAATTGATAAAATGTAAATTTTGGATGTTATAAATGTAAATTTTTATTATTTCTTCGCAGCAATATTTGACTATGTTTGGAGCAACGTTAGCCATCCCACTGCTTTTGTCGGCTGTCTTTTGTATGGACCATGATCTGGTAGCCCTAAGTGAACTTATTGGTACTATTTTCTTTGTTTCTGGCTTGGCAACACTTTTGCAAACTACGTTTGGCTGCAGGTAATTATTTATTCTAAAACTGAGACAATTTTAATAACTTTATATACCATACTAACCCCGGTATTCTTAAAACAAACTTTAGTTGTAGTTCGAGCTAAAACTTAAAAATTACGTCATTTCGTATTCTTAAAACAAACTTCGACTAGCACTACAACTAAATGACGCGAACCTCGACTAAAATGATACCTCCACAGGCCAAATTTTTTAGGCAGCCTAGGGTCGGGCTAAATCGCCGACTTGAAATATTTACCCCACTAAAAACGTGTTTTTGTAACTCACGATGAAGTGAAACGAATAAAAACGATTGTATACGGAGGTTTGATATATCTTTGGTGTGTTAAACAAAAGAGACATCAAGTTTAGCTTCCAAAAGGAGAAATTAACATGTTTTCCTTGCCGCATGCGATAGTTCCTAATTTGCATGTAATCCCCTCGCGTTGCAATCACCTAGCTTCACCAAAACAACAACAAAGATGGCGCCGCCCTCGCTCGGGCTCAACTATAATAGTTCTCCAAAGAAAGCAAATTTTCAGTGACTGTTCAAGTTCTTTATCGTAATATGTTAACAAATAATATAGTTAGTTTGGTAGTCGTGGCTTGCCAGTCGTCTTCATTTGAAATAAAACTAGGACTTGATTTAGTCGTACTTAAAACTTTGACTACGTTGTTTGGGAATACAAATTGAAATTGAAGTTGAAGTTGCAACTACCACTAAATTAAGTTCTAGGTCGAAGTTCGACTAAAGTTTGTTTTAAGAATATGGGCGTAAATCTGTTGCTGGGAAGCAATACAAAGAAGTGCTCCTCTTAACCAGTGTGGCAATTCTATTCTAGTGGTCAATTGTAGCAGACCCTTACTTTTTATCTCATTGTGAACTTAATTAAAGGGGCCCAATCACAGTTTCCCCCTTCAATTTGCTACTTGTTGTTTTATATGTGAAATAAGCAACTCAATCGAAACGCTGAGACATTCTTAACAACACAGGTGGGCAAAGTGCATCCTGACAGTGATTTTTTTTGTGGCCGCGAAAAACCCTATGTGTGTGGCCCACAAAACATTTTTAACTAGAAAACAACTTGTTTTTTACGGCCTGACACCGGTCGTCTGTAAAAAGTAGTGTTAAAACTGAGAATAAAATGGTATAAAAGCAGTGCATGAAGGTTTTTGGAAGCACACTGTAAATATCACCTGTGCTTAACAACAGTTTATTTTAGAACTATCTACAGTACGTGGTATATTGCAAGCATTTAAATTAAATTAAAATTTAATTTTTTCAGCCCTCGAAATTGGGACGATAAGTCCTCGGCAAAAAATTGCCGACGTAAATTGCACTCGCCTCGTCTGACTATGCCTAACGTCGATCAATGTAGTATTTTAATTAATTTGGTCATAATTTAACAAGTTCTAGACTTAACCTATTTAACTACCTAGCAAGGGTTTCCCTAAGCCAAGAAAACATTTTTCCCTTCATGGAAAATGTGTCACGTGATAATTTTGAGTGCTTTTCTATGGCCGTCTCAAATTCATTTGATAAATCATCCTGATCAATTCGATTAACAGGTAAAACATGTACACAAAATAAACAAGTCAACCACTAATTATTTAATTTATTTATATATGTAACATTAAAACATGGTATATTGTAATAATAGTATAAATTAATCATTAATTTTACGGCTGCTATAAAATGAACATATGTCACAGTATAGAGTACCCAGGCCGGAATCTACCAAAAATCTTCCACGCCCTCGTCGTTCGCCGCCGCCTGCCACAACAACATGCTTGGCCCATTGTGTTTACAGCATGCATGAATACGTCGGCTTGACTGTAGTAATTCCTGGTTTGTAAGTACGTCTTACTTGGCGTTGTTAAATTAGTTACTTTACAGGGCTGTTTTATTCAGCTAAGTGCTGGTACTACGGTAAATGTCCTATTAAATGATTATATAAAAATGATAAAAGAAAATACAGACTAGCAATCTACATATTATAGAGTGAATGGCCTCTAAAATTTGAAATCATGACAGCTGTGTTTACTATAGCCATCAAATTATCATCAAATATCATATAAAGTTTACAAAACTAATTCCCTACCTTCATGCTGAAGAGTGTTAAACTTTATGTATTGTCAAAGACGGTCACTGCATGAGCAACATACGATAACAAAAAGACCAGTTATTGACAGTCACCTCTAAATGAAATTACACAAAATATTATACAAGTCTGACCAGCTTTTTTATGTTCTAATGAAATTGTTTTTTTGTTTTTTTACCTCATTAATATAAATGAAACTGTGCTGGATGTATTGTAGACTTGCCACAAGTCTCTTATTTTTTATTATTTTTCTCATTCTGGACAGTGCCACCAACGAGAAAGTAAAACACTGAATGCAGGCACCAGGATGCCAAAAGAATGGCGTAATCTTATATTCCGTATTTGGATAAATGGGCGGACCGAAATAAAGAATTTCGACCAATCAAATGTTCATATTTTTGGAGCCACAAAACTGAGTCACTCACGTCGACTAGTTAGGCATCGACTAAAAATAATCCTCCCTAGTAAAACAGGCCTAAAATATTTAGAATAGACCCTAGTAAGACTAATTTTGGCAAAAACAATTAAGCTTAGACTAGATGGCATACCATTACAAATAACTTCCCAGGAGGATGGCTCAGACCTCTCTGGAGTCAGAAGTAGTAGGCCTAGCCTAGTAGAGGCTTGACCTGTTTTTAAGTTCTTAATTACAGAGGCCTACCTTTTTAACAATATTCTACCCTAAAGGCCTAAATCTGTGTAGCAGCTAGCGGTGAGCAAGGTTCTGTAAATACAGCCTACTACGGTTATCAGTCCATAGTCGTTCTCAGCAGGCCAGGACTGTATACTAACTGTTTTAATTCAAGTAGGTAGGCAGAGGGAGCTGGTTAGCTTGTCCTAGTCGAGACATCCGCATCTTCAATTTTTAAAATTTACCAAGATTAATTAATATGCATGAAGCCAGCCAATCACGTGATTTACAAAATCAGTCATGCATACGATATCCCACATCAAATTTGATGTGGAAAATCGTACGCATAAATCGTTTTCCCAGGCCCTAATCCGAAAAAAAGAAGTCGAGTATGGGACGCCAATTAAATTATGTATGGCGTGCACGAAGTGCAATAAAGAGTGAATAACCCAAAATTAGGGCCTGGAACCCAGGCTAGATGTATTGGTGTAGTTGAGGAGCCTTTAACCTAGTAGGAAATCTTGGGCTTTCAGGATGATGCTTATCACTATGGATGCAACATCATTAACTCTTATTCATAGTACCTACTCTATCTTGAAAATAAACCCTTGTTTCAGGCAATTCAAGCCAGATACACTTACAGTAAATGGCTAGCTTCACAGCCAAATTTTGCCAAACCTTTTCTCAACATAATGTAGAAAACATTCAGTCAAATTCTAACTAGATAAGTAATTGATTACTCTGTTTTTTTTTTTGTTTTTTTTGTTTTTTTTAAAACTAAATTCATTAATTCATTTTTATCTGAGTTTTTCATTTGAATGCAATTCTGGTCACAAAACTGAACTAAAATTAAAATGTAGCTGAGGACCTAAAGTTTTCAGTGTACTTTATACAGTACAGTATTATTAAATATAGAAAAAAGACTACACATTTCGCAGTCAATTGGCCATGGCTAAGTAGACCAAATTTGATGAATTTGGTTATCACGACACCAAATGACAACCTTGGCTTTATACTATGGTGATCATGTCGCAATTGTATATATAACAAGTTCAGCATTGTTATATATCCCAGAGTGTAATGAATAAGTTTCATTATGCTTTTGGTAATTTTAATCGTTAATTGAATGGTATTGGTAATCATAAAAATGTATGTAATTAGATACTGTTGTTTGTTAACATTTAAAAGAAGAAAAGAAAAAACAAATAGTACCCAATAGTTTGAAAATATTTTTTTGGAATATAATAGTATATCCACAAAAAATTATGGTTTATGTTTTTCTAAAACAATTAAGAGTACTAATCAAGCGAAGTCACATTTCATAATTTGACAATCATTAACCTGCAAATAATAATGAATGATATTCCATAGACTATAGCTGAAAACCTACTTTTTCTGGTTGGGTTTTTTTTTCTGGAATTAAATAAATTTTCATTTATTTGTTTTTAATTATGCAATTCATAAACGATACACACAAAATGGTTGAGTTTTGAATGGTGTATATATTTTTAAAATTCTGAGCTTGGGCCGATCAGTTAAAAAATGACCTGTCACCTTGTTGACTAACAAATTTGAGGCACAGGCTTTCAGGCTTACTCTAGCTCGAGCCAGCTTTTGTCTTCTATAATTTATTTCCTCACTTGGTATTAAATACAATATTTAAAAAATTTACATGAAGCAAGACAATTAAGAATGTTTTCACATTAATGTACAGGTAATAACAACCTATGTGGCTTTCCACAACAAAATAAAATACAACACAAATAAATACTAATAATTATGTGTACATAAAATTTATATAATGTAGTACCATAAAATATTGTTTAAATAATTAAAATTAAAATATTCAGTAATAAAATGCATGAAAATTAATACATAATAATGATAATGTTATAATTTGTACTGTAACTACTGCTTATAGGGGAAAAACAATACTAAAAAAATGTTATTTTATGCTTGTAATGGATTTACCGGTAGGACTAATATACATGTCTATAAGCAGTTAAAGTGTAGGATATTAAAGAACCAATTACTGTACATTATTTTAATTTAACTAAAGAATAGATGAAATTATACTACTATTAAGCACAATGCTGGTGTATTTGTTGACCTGTATAATTTTAGAAGGTTACTCGTTTCGTATACTTACATAAACTTTTCATATTTTTTTTTGTCTGTAACTAACAGTGTAATTGCCTAAGCTGTACCCTCTGGGGTCCTTAGGTATAGGCCCAGCCCAACTATTGACCCAATTACAGTATGTGTCCAATTGGAAGGGGAAAATCAATGATAACTGTGGAAGTATGCTATATGAACTTGTGAGTTCAGAGTTGTAAACAGTAGTAAAGCTGGCAATTGTGTTCCAACAAATTCATTAATTTTTATTTGTTTTTGCTTATTCACAATATAACATAAAGATTGCCAACATCTTAAATCAGAATTATACATTTTCTTAATGGCATGAATGTGTAGTTAATGTAATGCATGCTAATATTAGTGCATGTTGTCTTTTCTGTGCCAAGCCAGTCTGGATGTTATAGTAAGCTTATTGAAGAAGTGCATGGTAAAATTGCATATTTTATTTAATTTTTTAAAAATTTTAATTTTATTTTGGTAGCGTGAAAAAAATCTAAAAATGGTCATTTAATATTTCAAACTTCATTTGTTCATACAGGGCTGTAAAAAGTTGGTGGTCCTTTGTCCGGGACTTGAGTATTTTAGGGCTGGGCTAGCAATAAACACATAAAAAAAAAACATCAATATCTGATATATAAGGGCTAGCAATATTTTAGCAAAACAAAAATTAACTTTTTGCAGCTCTGTCATATTCAAAAATGCCAGAATGAACCTCATTATTAATGACAATGATTTGGCTTATTTATATCTACACATACACTGCATTATATAGTATGAGTGGCTTCTAATTTTTCTAAACTTATTTTAATGTTAATCTACAAAAATAACAGAATTTTATAAATCTAGATTTTTTGAAGAATATTTTTATTGCATAGGTTGTTTACATAATTGAATTTAAATATTGAAATTCCCATGTGATTTAGTAGATCATTTGACTTAAAGTTTCACCTTTTTGAGAAATGTTACTGAGTTTTCTCCCGCGCCTTTGATAAATTTTTGAATTGGCGCTATATAAATGTTTATTATTATTATGTATTGATTATGTGATAATTATATTTTTATGTTATGTTAATTTCTGTTTCATTTCAGACTACCCATTGTACAAGGGGGAACTTTTGTATTTGTTGCTCCGACATTTGCCATTCTAGGTCTCCAAGGAGATTGTCCTGCGCCACCTTTGGGTCAGTACTGATTACTGCGATTAATTAACTACAAATAATCAATTGTCAATGTCAATTTTCTATTTTGTATTTCTGCTTATATATTAACAATTTCTGTAGTTTACTGCTATATAATTTCTTATATGACAATGTCAAAAATAAGCACAAGATGATTCCAACCAGCATCTTTATCAATTTTTACCTATAAAATCAATGAACTGTCGATGATGACAGATCTGTTATCGCAAAAGTTTGATTATCGTTTATATAATATATTTTAAAGAGGTAATAAACAATAACTTCAAAGCTATTATGCTTTTTCTTTACTATACACATTTATTGTTTATATATCATTTTAATCTATATGTCATTAAGTGTTGAGTGGCATGCATGGTAAACACTTCTTACACTACTACTACTTTTGCTGCAGTACTCCATTGGACAAAATATCATCCTATCAGGCTTTACTCTCTGATGTTTATTTAGTCAAACTAATTATGAAAAAAAATCCCAAAATATTTTAGTGAATAACCAAGTACTGCACAATCCATATAAATGTTTATTTTTTGTATTTAGCAATAACTCTTTCATCACATTTGGCTCTCTCCATTTTTTTAAAATTTATTAATTATTAACTTGAATTGAGCTGTATATACATACAGGTAGGATTATTCATACCATTGAAAAATGCAAAAAGAGAAGAAAAAACCCAGATGTAGAATATTCTAGAATTTTTTATTTCCTTGACATGCAACAGCAAGTACACTCACCACTTACTGGATGAGAATGATGCTTTATAAGCTAAGTTTCTTTATGGGGCTTAGGGTGTGGAGTTGGTTTGATAGTTATATTATTATTATTATTCTAACAGTAACAATTATGTTATTCTGGTTGATGAGTTTGACTCCATAATTTGAGATGGCTTATTACCTCTTAAGAATTTACTCCATTGTAGATTCATAATTATGAAAATGTGTGGAGCTGTGGTTTGGGATGCTTTCCATCCAATTCTAGAATTACAGTTAAATGAGGATAAACAAGACAATTTGTTTGATGTACATTGAAAAAGATACCTAGAAAAATATGGTGTTTATGGCAATATGAAGTGACGAGTACCCGGTAAACAAATAATTAATCTTTCTGTATACTATGTTTTGAAAAATGGTTTTGAGAAAAAAAAACCGTTCGCATCTTGTCGTTTTAATGTGATTACTCTGTCGTTATAGGGAGAATATGTTAATATATCAACCATCTAACAGTAATCAGTCGTGACAACATATTTGTCAGTGTGGGTGTTTTTTACGTCATTCTAGTTACATCACAAATCAAATTGCTTTAAGTTTGTCAGTATTTTCTTGCTTGAAGTCACATCTGGTGTCATGAATTTTAAACGATTTGAATATTAATTTCTCCACAATCCATGCTGGAAATGTAAATATCTGAGCTATCCAGCCTGTCTTTGGCTATGAGATTAAGCCAACAGTTACTACTTACACTATTAGTATTTTTAGTCGTTAGGTAATTTTTTTATTATTTATTTTATATTTTTTAAAGCATATGTATTCAGGATACATATTCAATGAAAGGAAAGAAATGTACAAATTAATAACATTGACAAACCATACTAAAATTGGTCACCATATACATACCTGTACATACATATACCTGTATACATATATACCTGTAAAACAAAAATTAAATATCAATGAATGATAAAATTATTAAAATATGGACAAATGAATACAATACTTAAAATTACAATAAAATACTAACATAGAAAGTGATTCAATTAAGAAATGTCAAAAAGTTTGATTAAGATTGTGTATTATCAAATGTAAAGAAATATAAAAACAAGAATTAGATCACTTCTCCATGCAGGTAATAATAAAATTGTGTAATTGCCTTTTAAGTATAGTAATTCAATGTTAAAAAAAATTTAATGAAACCATTAAATATTCTTTTTTATACATCATTTTAAAAATAATGATTGTTCCAGCCTTTTGCAAAATTTAGGGTAACTCATTCCAACACCATGCTCGAGAGGTCTTAAATGATTGAGTCATTTTTAAAAATATTAGACTTTGGTGGAACTATATTGAGAGAGTTTGTCCCACGCATACTATAGTAACGCCTATCACAACAAATTTGTTTCTTTTTGGATGTTCTGTGTTGTTTTTCTTGAGATTTTAATGTTTTTGTGTACTGGGCCCTCTGGGAGAACAGTAACTTCTTACTGAAGAGGTAACCCAGTATAAAGAATTAATAAATAAAAAATAAATTTGTAAGACAATCAGAAGCTGTACTACGTAAACAATTGTATAATTAGACAATTTAAATAGTATTGAACATTTTTTTATACATAATTATAACAAAGAAAAGATTATTTGTGAATTATACTGTTAATCATATATTAATAATATATACTTTTACTAAGTTTTTCCATGTTTCAGATTAAAATGTTATAGTATTTTAGGTCATTGGTTACCTCTATTGAATCTCTTCAATTATTACATTTGTGGTTTAAAAAAATAATTTAAATGTTAGTTTAAAAAATTGTGCAAAACACAATGACCTCTGTGATTTTAGATTGTAATTTGTAAAGCTCATAATTTGAATTATTGTTTAATAAAAATTATATAAAGAAAAGGAAAATTAAATTAGCATCGGTTTTATTCTATTGTTAAATGACATGGTAGTTCAATAAAGAAAACTTATTGATATGTTGTTTTTCATTTACAGAAAATGCAACACAGGCTGATGTAGATGATTCAACAGAGGTTTGGCAAAGCAGAATTAGAGAAGTATGTTAATAAATGGACTTGTTTGTTTTTATTATATTATTATTAGTGATGAGCCTTGCATTCAAAGGCGTTATTGTATGCATCTCTGTTATTAGTCACACTCTCCACTGTATGTGTTCAATTAGTAAGCTTATGGTGATTGTTTATGCTCTACATCACAGGTAATCCCAGAATGAAAAGCTTTATTTTGATACAGTCGGTTTGATAAAAAGTTTTCTCGTTTGATTATGAAACGCGATCTGAAGTAATCATGGTTATCGTTTTTAAATATTTTTATTAATATTATTTTTATTGTTGTATCTGTTCTTATTGCTGCTGTAATTATTACTGTATTATTTACTATTTATTATTACAAGTATTATTATTTTTTGTTAAGTTATATTGATAATCTTTAAGACATACTGTAGTTGTAATAAAATTCTGACTTGTGGAACAATATTGATGAAACCACAAAAAAATAGTATCACTCTTAAAATTTTTAAATAGATAATTTCAACATAATTTTTAAGTATAGTTTATTTGGTAGTATTTTTTTGTTTTCAGCTTTTATATTTTCCTTTCATTTGTATTTTTGTAAGTAGTTGTTGTTTAGTTGTTCATTTTATACTTTAGTTTTCATAATATGTAAAAAGATACGGCCTCATGGAAGAACACAATAAATATAATATAAATCATCAAAGGTACATATACAGTGTTAAATAAGGACATGATAGAACATCGTAGGCTACCCTGTAGCTTTTCAGCGAATAAAGTCCTATAAAAGTCATTGTGTAATAAATTGCCTCCGACGGGATTCGAACCTGCGACCTGTCGCTGACGAGGCGAGCGTCATAACCACTATATATATTTATTTATTTATTTATTTACTAGTAACTGTAACTGTTTAGTATTATTATTAAGACAATAAGGAATTTTCCATGCCTTTTGAGCATAGAAAGTGCTGCACTAAAAAACAGTCATTGCTTACTGGGTCAGTTGGAGCTTACCTTAGCAGATAGCTGGAATTATAGTCCAAATATTGCTGGTTCTCCACATCAGCCTGTATTTCCTCCTTTAGTTTGTTTTATTATGAAATGTATTCTTCATTATATTCTCATCAGTATATTGATTTTTGAATGGCTGTCATCAAAGTATTCCATAGAATTTTTTTTACAATTTTATATGACACTCTGTTGTAAACAGAATAATTTGATGTTTATAATTGAAAAGATTATTATTTAATTAAATGAATGAGGTCGTTGATATGTCTGTTTTAATGAACAGATATTATTTCAGTTAAAGATTTAATCCAGTTTACAGCATCCAATAGAAAATCATTTTTATAACCAGATTATTCCAAGCTTTTTTTTTGCAGTACTAATGAAGTACTTGTTTTTTCTGCAGTACTATCGGACTGATTGTTCTGTTTTCGCAATACTTGAAGGAACTCAACATTCCATTTCCAAGCTACTCACGAAATAAAGGCATCCATGCTGTATGGTTCCCAGGTTTTAAGTTATTTCCAGTAAGTGCAAACTCCCATCCATACCACAATGGTACCTTGTAGTTGCATCATGCCACCATTCTTCATGGATCTTGCACCCATGTTTATGATATATGGAGTAGTTGTCTTGCCCATGCTATGTGCCTATGACATCTCTATGGAGTAACCCATGATACAATGAATCAACGTACACCCATGCTCCCCATTGTGGATATGTAGTGTAACTAGATTTGTACCAATTCTTAATAAGCCTTGTAGTAATAAAATCCAAATGAAATATTTGCCAATAAATTTGTTTTCATATATGGTAATAATGAAGAATGAAAATGAAGATAAAAGGATATAATAAGAGTGATTTGTTAATTTTCTTTGGTTTTGTTTTAGTGAAGACCATAATTATAATTAATCTTATTTATGACTTTTCATATTAATTTAGGTTATTCTTGGTATTATGATCTCATGGATACTGTCCATCATCATCACGGCAACTGGTGGTTTCCCTGACGACCCGAATATCTACGGTTACAATGCTAGAACTGACAGTCGTATTGGTGTTTTGGAGCAGTCAAAATGGTTCCGCTTCCCTTATCCAGGACAGTGGGGACTACCATCCGTTACTGTAGCTGGAGTGTTTGGAATGTTAGCTGGCGTTCTGGCATCTATGGTTGAGAGCATTGGTGATTACTACGCTTGCGCACGTCTCTCCGGTGCACCTCCACCACCAACCCATGCTATAAATCGTGGAATTGGTATTGAAGGGATTGGCTGTATAATAGCTGGTCTGTGGGGATCAGGAAATGGGACAACATCGTACAGTGAAAACATTGGTGCTATTGGTATAACTAAGGTATACAATTGTTTTAAAGAACATAATTTTTTTTTTAAATAAAATTACTGTACTATGTAACAATAAGTTTCAATAACAATACATATAGTGTCATAAACAATCTTTTTTAGACTTTTTAAAGACTTAATTAAGATTAGTGGACCTTACTAACATTCCCTATGTGCTGAAACGTAATTATTTATTTTATTTTCATATTACTGTAGTTGTTTGGTTTTGAAAGAATTTTTTAAAAATATGTCCATCTTTGATGCTGAAAGATGAAGGCAGCCTATTTTCAGTTTACTGAGGTTGCTTTTTTTGCAATATTATACTGATCCCCAAAACCTAGGTCAGGTTTGCTAGATATATAGAGGAGTCCTACATTTTAGTTCAAGAGTACTGCTTTTTATTTCTATCATTGACTGCATCCTACAGCTCTGATCCTTGCCCATAATCCAAAAATTATTTAACCTTGGCAGTAAGTAATGAATATCACTAAAAGGAACTCACTACATTTCCATTGGCTGGCAGTCAAACCTCACCATGCTATGTGGACTACTAATAATTAATTGATAAATACTCACCCTCTTATATTGTACGTGAACTAATAATAGTTAAGTGTTGATTCTTGGCAAAGTAGTACAAGTTTTCCCAGAATTGTTAGAAGTGGTAATGAAGCCGTGTTAGTTTATTTATTACACAAGCTTTCGCTTGCAATCAATACCAGCTTCATCAGGTCTGTGAAGTAAAAAATTGAAAACAAAATAGAAAAGAGCTTATGCATACATAATTAGCAATAGTCTCACAATTAACCAATTAGCAGTTGGATACAATGTAGTATACAATGATCAGAGATAACAAGTGTAATCAAACAACTAACTACAGTATTCTACTAATAAGTAGAGCTGTGCAGTCATGGAGCTAATTATGAACAATGGAGTCACTAACAAGCTAAATCTTATAGTGGCTGAGAAAGCCTAGATCTATATTAAGGCCACTATTAATGCCATCAAATTTATGAATAAATGTTTGTTCGGCAATTAATCTATCGTTTCTGTTTTTAAAGCAGTTACTTACAGCTACTTTAAAGTGTAATATTATGTCCTGGTGAATTAAAATGAACTGCAATAGGCCTATCTTTGTTGTTGTGAGGAATGTCAAATTTATGAACATTCATGCGTTGTCTGACAGTTTGGCAAGTTTCTCCTATGTAAATAGTACCAGGACATTCAGTGTATGTAATGGCATAGATGTTGTTAGATGAAAAACATGAAAATGATCCACTGATGTTGTAAGTAACTTGATTAGGCCTTGTAATGGTACTGCTAGTGTTGATATGTGGGCAAAGTCGGCATTTCTGTTGGTTACATGGAATGGTGCCCTTAGTGGTGGGGGTGAGGGGTACTTTGTTAGAAGTAAGCTGTTGTTTGAGGTTGGGTGGTTGGTTGTACGCAAGCATAGGTTTGTTAGGTATGATTTTATGAAGTACAGGGTCACTATCTATTATAGGTTGTAGATCGTTGATAATGTGTTGTAATGGTTTAACGAGTGGATTATATGTGACGATAAGTGGGACACGATGATCGGTCTCCTTCTTTCTGTAGGTCATGAGGTTTTCTCGTGGTATCTTAGTGGCTTTAGAGATTTGTTCATTAACAAGTTTGGAATAGTAGTGCAGGTTGTTGAATGAATCACGGAGGTGGTTGAGTTGCTGTTACTTAATCAATAATGTCAGAGCAGATACGATGACGTCTAAGGGCCTGGCTATGAACAATAGAGATAAGTATTTCTGTCTGTAGGTTTACGGTAGATAGATGTGGCTAGGTTACCATTGCTGATCTTAATTGTGACATCAAGAAAATTGACACGAGTGTATGAATGTATGCATAAGCTCTTTTCTATCTTGTTTTCAATTTTTTACTTCACACTCCTGATCAAGCTGACATTGACTGCCAGCGAAAGCTTGTGTTAAATAAATAACATCAAAGTTAGTCTCAGAGTGCTGCCTTTTAATTTTCCCAGAATTGTTAAAACTGAAGATGTAAAACAAAGGGCCATGAAGGGATTCAGATCAAAGTGAATTGTAAATATCTAAATAGTTTCAAAGGTGTAACTCATTAATTAATCAATTATGAATTAATTGAAAAATTAATTATTTTACTTTTAAAAATGGTAAAAATAGGATTTATTTAATTTCAATAATATTTTATTATTTTGTGTTTAATCCAAATCAAAAAACCACGCAGTTAACCATAATAGAGCATCTTACTCAAATCGATAACTTAATAAATGACTGAAACTGACGTAGAATAAAACCCACATTATTATGACGTATTAAGAGTGATTTAATGAATGTGTGAAATATCTAATTTCAGGTTGGAAGCGTGCGAGTTGTACAAGTGGGAGGCTTCATCATGATTCTGTTAGGCTGCTTTGGCAAGTTTGGTGCCCTCTTTGTCACAATTCCAGATCCAATTGTTGGTGGTTTATTTTGTGTGATGTTTGGTATGATAACTGTTATTTCTATTCTCATGCTTCTAGTTCAAGGGCATACATAACATTATAATCTAATGCGTGGTATTGTTATGTTACACAGCCTTCACACTTGACAGGTTTTACTCTTGATTATGCTGTGTTTTGAATAAGTCGTCAGTTTGTCTGTTAATTGCAAATATGCTGTCTACTAATTAAATATATGAAGTCAGCTACTAAAAGAAATATCTTTTAATATCCTGTTATTTGATTTTGTGCATTGTTTATCGTCATTGTTACAAGGAATTTCTTATGTCCTGTTTCTGTTTAATGAAGAATTTGGTTGAATTTATTGTACTATAATAAATACAAAAATAAGATGAACTTTCATGTCACATTCTTTGTGAAAAATATATTTTTAACTAAAGTAGTTTTTAACAAATAATATTTGTTTACTGTTATCCTTATTAGATTAAAATATACTATGCAATTTATAATACTATAAAATTATGGATTTTTGATTTTTTTTAGTATAATTAGGAACTAAACATATTATTTTTTTTTTAATACTAGTATATGTACATTACCTATATCTAATGTTTCAGTGAAATACATACATGCCAAGTTGGAGGTAGCTAGTGGCTTGAGATAACAGGAAATAAACACAACTGGCATGGGTTGAGGGTCCGCCTAGGGCCTGGTAAAATTTTGGGCTTAGATGCTCTCTGGTGCACACTGAAATAGATATCTAGTGCTCAAGTAGAAATGACGTAATGTAAAGCGCCATCAGTGTTCCTAAAATCAAAAAATTTTTTAAATGCTTGCTAAAAAATACCATGAAGCCTCCGTGGTCTAATGGTTATGACGCTCGCCTTGACAGCGAGAGGTCAGAGTTTTTATTTGTTTTTAAATGAATTGTATAAGATGTGTATAAGAGACAGCACACACACACACACATTGTTTGTGAGGTTCTACGTGTGTTTCGGTACGATAACAAAAGAATATAGGAAACGAATACCATGTATAGACTTTAGAAACACCAAAACCAATATTTCGACCTATCCTCACGTAAAGAATAAACAATGCGGACTATAATGAGATGTTTATTTTTAGACGTTTTGAAAACAAAAATACTCTAGGACCCGCTAGAGTAGTGTTGTCTCGATCGCCATACCTCTCCTTCCCCTTGTTTCATTCTTTGTTTATAGCAAATCAATTATGTAATTTTTAAAATTTACTTTTGTAGGTATGGTGACAGCAGTCGGTTTGTCTAATCTGCAGTTTGTTGATTTGAATTCCTCTCGCAATCTATTTGTCGTTGGCTTTTCATTGATCATGGGATTAGTAATTCCCAATTGGTTGAATGAAAACCCAACTGCAATTCAGACAGGTAAGAACATAATTCTTTTTTTTTAAGATTAGAATATTTATTGTTATTGCAGTCAAATGACTATTCCAGAATGGTTTGTTGTACTCTTGTTTAATGCTAAATGCTGCTAATTGAGTAGTAGTCTTCCTTAGGGTCTAATTCATCCCTGCCTCTCAAAACAAACTAGCCTAAGCTAAGCCTAGTTGGCACGGACACTACTATTGTGTATACTATAGATTGCAAATTTGTAGGGGCAGAACCCAACTTTACCCCTTGTATGTCAGGTTTAAATTTATGATCATGTTAGTGTATTGAGTAATTGCATTATCTTTTTTTCTAATTTTTGATTGATTTTATACAAATTTTTAAGACAATTTTATTGATTATTGAGAATAACATTTATATTGTATTGTTTTTTTACAATAGTTTTAAATTTTATCTAGAATTTATTTTCATTGTGCTTTTTATATTTTACTCGTGTTACTCTGTATGTTTTGTGTTCGTTGAGGGCCTCTTTGACTTTGAATCAGCCTCGCTGGCATTTGGATATGTAAACTATTGCCTTTGGTAATCTTGCCATTGATTTCTGTTTTCAATAATTCGTACTTGCCTTTTAAAGTGCTTTTGAAATTTAATTGATTGTTCTATTTAAATGCTTTTATGAAAATGTTTAATGCTGATTTTTGACATTTTGTGGTGTACCCCATCGGAAACACACTTTATAGTTTAATTGGTTATCCAGATTTTTTTTCTTATTGTATCCTGTATATTTATAGTGTTTTATTTGTTTTTAAATGAATTGTATATAGAGAGAAATCAAATAAATTCAATTCAATTCAATAGAGCTATGGTCATAAAAGAAATTTGAATAAATAAATAATTTTTCCCCAGGCATCTCTGAAATTGACCAGATCATTACAGTTCTGCTGAGTACCAGCATGTTCGTTGGCGGTATCCTTGGATTTCTCCTTGACAACACCATTCCAGGTAATTGACAATGCAGGCCTCACAATCAGTTTTTAACAAGCTGAATTAAAATAAAAATCTATTGAACGTGAAGTCATACCGTAGTACACATTGCCATCACTGGCTAGGAGGTTATAATAATAATAATAATAAAGTTTAAACATAGTGCACCATGGCAGCAAGGCCTCTAAACATTATAAGTGTGGCCAATGTATCAAACACGTGGAACACATACTCAACTTCTTGAGGTAAATTCCATAATAGTGCAGCTACAGTAGTAGAAGTGGTTGGCGCATCGATTGTGGCTTGGACTCCCAACCACGAGGTCGGGGGTTCGAAACTCTCGCTGTGCAAATCGCTTGTGTCCTTCGGCAAGGCACTTTATCTATGGTTGCCTCTCTCCACCCAGTAGTACAAGTGGGTAACTGGTAGGTTCGAACACAACTGCGCTGATTACTAGGTGCAATATTATGGTATTCTCCCCAGGGAGCTGAGTATGTGTTCCATGTGTGTTTGATCCAATGACCGGGGTAGTAATGTGAAGCACTTAGTGGCATTGTGCATGAAGCGCTATATAAGACCGACATATTATTATTATTAATCAGCGAATTTGCTTACCATCCAGGATGGAGAGACAACTGAGGGATATTCACAGGGAGGTTTCAATGTTTAGAGCCTGTGTCTGTCCTTCTTTAAGCTTGGTTGCTGTGTATGAACATCAGGAAGACAACAAATAGCTACCGAAAGGATAAACTGAAATAGTAACTTGATTACTACTAGTAAATATTGTTATTCTAGATGTTTCTAGAATAGTACTTAGTAGATAATTAAAAAATCCGATTTTGTCTTCTGTTGCAGGAACTGATGAAGAAAGAGGTTTATTAAAGTGGCGTGAGGTTTATGGGAAGAAAAATGTTGACCAAGATGTTGTTAATGAAATCTATAATTGCTATGACCTACCCTGGGGTATGGATTACATTCGCAAGTGTAAATTCCTTAAATATGTACCCATCTCTCCCACATTCACTGGGTTCGCCAGACAAAGTAAGTGTTGCACACCCTCTTCATATATTGACAAGTACTAATGATGCTCTAGAAGATGCCCTACGTAACGTAAATTAAGTCTCAGTATGAGTCTTGGGAGTGGGGTTGTTTTTGGTCGTGAGAAAAAAATTATGTTTACCGTGACAGGAATTCAACCCAGGACCTTGGGATTGGAAGGCAAGCATATTAACCACCAAGCTATTCACTTCTAGTAAAATAAACAAAAACCACAACAAACACACAGACCATTGCAGATTTTCTGATGTACCTCCTTTGAATTAATTTCCCCAATTACCAAAAATCATTCACTATCTAACATGTATTTTTATGTCAATTGATCGTCTAGCCCAAGTATAGTCACTTTTGTCGCTATCATTCTGGGTTACCACCTTATTTTAAAATCTCTTCTAAAGCTCTCCTTTTTATCATTAAAAAAAGCCTCTAAACCACCCTTGGATATAACATAGTTGGTGGACATTGTGTCTATGCAATGATGATGAAGATCCTGATGGCTCCATTCCTGATTGGATATAATTACATTACCTTATTTTATTGACAACATTCTCTAAAAAAAAGTGCTATCTCATGTGTTGCTTAAATTGGGCATAATATGCTTGTAAACCTGTCAACCCCTTTGTATTATTTCAGGATATTCAAGTGTGCGAAGTACGGAATCAAGTAGAAGAAGGAAAGAAAAAAATGGAGATTCAAACCAAGGCAACCCCCAAGGTATAGATATGGCCAGTGTGTAGGAATGCAAAGACAGGCAATCCAGGCTTTCATCAGAAGTTAATAAATGATTCAGGGATTCATAAACATGTTAAGGAATAATATGACAATTTAATTAACCAAACTGGTTTTTACTTATTGATAATCATCTGATTATCCTCGCTGCCCAATGTCATGAATTCCTCATCTTCTTGTTAAATCTGTAGTTATGTTACAGCACTATTAATAACAGTACTTGTTGACAAATCCAAATTGCTAATTATATCTCAATAAGACAACAATGCCTTGCATATTAATTAGGTGATTGTAAAGTAAATTATTACTATCTGAGTAGTAGTGTGTATATTGAATCTGTAGTTTGAAAAATAGGGTTCTCATTAATTCATCATGTACAGTACATCTATTTTGATCATTAATAATCTAATTTATAAATAATATGTGAAGTACACTGTTTTGTTTTCTTTGTTCTTACATACACTTAGATTCCTTAAGATGAATCAATAAAACATTGGTTTTAATTTAAAAACCTAAATGCACAATGGTTGGAAAAGTATTGATATTTACAGAGATACACAGTGTTGCAAAATGCTAATAGAACTGTTTAGAAATTACCAATGGTACATAAAATAATAATTTGAAGTTTTTTGTGTGTATAAAATACATGCATTTTAGCAAAAACAAAATATTATAACGTAATTTTAACAATACACAGAAAAATCGTGCGTAATTCTATATTTGTATACTGTACATTTAAACAATTTAATAACATTTTAATTATCAATTAATTAGCAATTTTAACAAAATTACTCAATGTGTATGGCTATACCGGTATATGTAAGATATTAAATAGCATATGCAATAATGCAATTATAATGCAACATACAATTGTGAAGAAATGGTAAATGAATTAGACTAGAAGGTATTAAATTTCAATAAGTATAACTACGATTGCTGTAAGCTAGAAGGCATTCAAATAAGTTTGCTTGATAAGTATTTAACTTAAATATGCATATTTTGTGTCAATAATTAAAATAAGGATAATGTCAGTATGCATATTTTGTGTCAATCTTTAAAAAGAAATAATATATAACAGGGTTGTTTTTCACATATGACATTAATAAACAATGCTCAGATTGTTTTATAATGTCAAACAGTATGCCAAACATTTTGGTTAATTCCATGTTTTCATTACTTTTCTGTTTGAATGGGTTTTTCTTTTTAAATGTTATTTACTACTTAAGGCTAACAATGTATATTTATCATTTTTATTTATCAGTTCAAGATTGTGTTTCATGATTTCTTGCCTAAAATATTTTGTCATTGCATGTTATTGCATGTACTGTGTGTGTAACTTAATAAATGTAACACATAGCAATTATAATCTCAGTTAAGTTTATTTCTTGCCAATATAAAATGCAAAGTGTACATGATTAAAATGCTATTTAAATTGCATAACTGTATTGGGATCCAAAATAGAAAATAAAATGGCACAAATGAACAGTGAACCTACACTCACAAATACTACATAACTTGAATTAAGTATATTTGTCTCGTTGGATATAGTATTAAAAGCAGAAGTAATGGTAGAAATGATATTGCTGTTGATAGTCATCATTTTTTGCCCCCAAATATGTTATAAATACAAAATATTATAAATCCGAAGCAAAACACCAACACAATTGCTGTGTGGCAGGGTAGTTTAAAAAGTACTGTAAATGAAATTTAAAAAATTGAAAACCACAACAAATTTACAAGCAAACTGATTTTTAAATTACACAATTACAGAAAATCATTCACTATCTAACCTAGATTGGTCTGTCAGTTGCTTGTACAGACCTAGTATAGCCTTTTCATTTTCACTATAATCCTGCCCTACCTCCTTATCTGAATATCTCTTCTAAAATCCATGTTTTTATCATTAAAAAATGCATCTTTAATCCACCCTCAAACGTAACATAGTTGGCTGACATTGTTTGAATATCCTGATGGCTCCATTCCTGATTGCCTATGCTTATTACATTCCTTCATTTTGCTGACAACATACTCTACTAATGTGCTATTTATGTGTTTGGTTATTGGGTAAAATATACTTGTAAACCTGTCAGCCCCATTCTTTGAGCTTAGACGAGACACTATTATACCTTGTTTTGCAAACTTATAGAGGAGGGTAAAAAAAAAATTGTTTTTTTATTTTCCACATTTATGCCAAAAACATCCAGATAGAAAATATAAAAATAAAATTTTACTGTGTGAATGTAAACAGTATAGTAATAGGATGGTTAAATGCTTCAAATGTATATAATGAGAAATATACATATCTTATTTTGGGAGATTTCAAGACAGCAGTGGGTGTAATAAAAATTTAAAAAAAACCTTTTATTTTCTGAAATTTCCTTTTTTTCCTGGGGGCTGGTGCACTAATTGGCCAAAAATGAAATGTTATTTTTATGTGAAATCATCATTACCAGTGGCGGCACACGTGGGTGGGTGGGGGGTGAAATTAAAAAAAATAATAATATGCCTATCCAAATAACACTACTAATCCCTTATATTGTGTGGTTTAAAAACATTTAGGACCACATTAAGCCATAAAAACTCTCCCCATGAACAGGGGTTTTTTTTATTCCAGGCCGTCGACTGAGGCTTCGTTGTTACCTTGGTTCAGACCCCTCAACTGCTGATCATTACTGGCGGGCGGCAGGTTCCCTAAACAAGGTATAAAAAAGTCTTGTCTTAGTTTCATGTTGATCTACAGTACTTGTAATTACTGTACTGTATTTCAGGGAATGTGAGTGTGCAAGATAAGGAATCAAGTAGAAAAAGGAATTAAAACAATTGCTTCAAATCAAGACACCTCAAGGTATACCGGGTTTTGAAAATATAACTTTTTCATAGATATATCTGATGATATGTAAGAAGGTAACATACTGTAGGTACCAACCTGAGAGATTTGAAATGCATGATACCAAGTTGACTGGGGTTGAGGAGGCGGAGCTTAGGTTGGGTGCTGGAGCGAAACCCCTGGCGCTCCAACGATCTGAGCATTTTTAAATGAATGTCTTGAATGTCTAGGCTTGTCAGCTTTTTATTCATTTTACTTATTAATAACAGTACTTGTTGAATCCAAAGTAAGCTTGAAAATAATACATTTACTGGAACTGACTTACTATTGCCAAAGTTAGTATTACAGCTTCTCTGTGCTAAAGTATACAATACTGCTACATTCTTATGCTAATTAATCAGTTTAACATTTAGCAAAAGTACGCTGGTTTTTGGATGGCAAGCCTCATTGAATAACAATCTAAATTTTCAAAATTAAAATTGGATAAATATTGGAGGTATAGTTCAGCATATCGTTCAGTGGCGTAGGAATGGACAGTGCAAAGACTGATGCCTGGGGCTATTACGGCCTGTTAGTCCATAATTTGAGGCATGTTGTGGCAAAATGGCTGAGTTGTAGACAAAATTGAAATTTAAGTTATTGGTATTTTCAGATACCTAAGTATGTGATCTTTAAAATGAGGGGTCATTCATTGAAATTGGACATTTCAAGCCTCAGTTATTGGAAAGTGAAAGTACCACACTCTTATTGTCAAGATAAACATGATTTTGAGTAATTGCCTTTCAAAGTTATTTGTGCATACATTGTTTAATAGAATGAACTATCAAAATAATGTTAAACAATTTGTTGACCCCTTCCAGAACTAATACTTTGGGACATCAAACTGTTGATCTAGAGTGAAAAACAAATTTGGATTTTTAGGCAATTTTTTGAGCTCCCATATTTTATAGCTCATTTACTCAATACTGGTCTGTGCGACAAATTAAACATTTCGCCACGACATGCCTCATTTTTGTGTAGAATGTATACTACATTTTTCTTCTATTAAAAACTGAATTGTAAAAGTTGGCATAGTTACTAACCCGAGAGATCTGAAATGAGTGACTACACCAGTTGGCTGTGGGGGGCCCTAGATCTCTGACGATCTGATCATTTTTAAGCTGTTTTAAATCAAATTCAGGTAGTGTTTGTTGACAATTCAGGGAAGGGTAAATACAGTAAACAAAAATATTTTTAATAAAGCCATGTACTATTTGAGTTCCAATGTGCTTTATGTTTAATTTGAGCACCTCAACTATGTATGTAAACATTTCATTATTGAACCAAACAAAAAATGAATAGGATACTGATCAATTTTTAGTAATGCATCAGTGAATTAAGTATTCATGAAAATAATGTCTAATGACTCGAGATACTGCATGACCGTTTTCATATTTTTAATAAACCAATTTCATTTAATTTTAAATACGTTTCCCCTGCGATGCGAGACGGTTGATAACTGAGTTGGTGTTATTGCATGTACTGTATGTGTACCATAAATAAATTCAACACATAGAAATTAAAATTTTAGATGAGTTTATTGTTTGCCAATATAAAATGCAAAGTGTACAAGATAATTAGGCATGTATCAAACAGTTCAGATTTATTAGAATTGCATACTTTATTTAAATGCTATTTGAATTACATAAATGTATTGGGATTAAAAATAAAAAATAAACTGGCACAAATCAGCAGTGAACCTACATTCACAAATACTACAATATTTTCCAGGGAAAAGGATATGGGAGACCTAAGTATTGCAAGTACCAAGAAGTTGGCTGGAGATTGTTTAAAGCACTTCCCCTTTAATACCAGAAGCCTGGGTCCAGATCTTGCCCATGTCAGGGTATTGTGTGGCAACAAATCAATTTCTTAAGCCACGCAATGAGCATGGTAGCACCACATTGATCTATTTTAGAGGCCCTTTAATCTCACACTGCTGCAACGGTTCAGGATTGTACTATTCCGCCAATTAGAATAGGAATTGATTTCCTGACACACACATCAAAATAATAGAATAGGGATACAACTTGTACAAAGAAATCAAACTACAACATAATATTAGTATAGTGATCCAGCGATAACTACAAGACATTGACAATCAAAGCAATGAACAACTCTGAACATAATGATCAATTGTATATAATAGTACAGTGTATGCATTAAATTCTAATTAGCAATGAAGAACAATAAAAAATTAATTAATATAATGAATGCCTGATTATATATTCAAAATAAAATATGTTCATTTTCATAAAAATTTCTACATTAAGATATTTTTATATCTAAATTTATAATATAAACTAAGTACAAATATTTACATATCAATCTTGGCGAGCAAGGTTTCTATAAATACATGATACAGTACCTCGTTACTTCAATGAAACAGTTTATTATAAATTAAACAGTATTTTTTTGAACGTGAGTTTTGTTAATAACACGTTACATTATATAAATATTTATTTTAATAGTAATATGTTTATACTTAAATTTATAATGGAATTTATCGTAACACTATCAATAGCAAGAAACATCTTTATCGGTGCTTTGGAGCACTATGCTTAGTTATCAGTTGTATAATCATATCTATTGCAAGGCTCCCTAACAAACATAGAATAGCAGGCAGATATACTTAATTTGTTTCAACTGGCAACAAGTACCTATGTGGGCCTGGCCAAGGCCTGAGTGTGTGGTAATAGCCATTGATATGAAGGAAAAATGAGCCTTATCCCCTTTGTGACAAACCAGGACAAGAAACCTTTCTTTTTATTTGGCCATAAAATATCAATAGTAAAATGTGAATAGAATATCAAGGTACATTTAAATATATTGAGTTGAACTTTCATACAACTTAAATATTGCAGTATTTACATGCTGCTGTTGCCAAATAATACAAAATTAATTCCTCTTACTGCCACCAGTTTTTTTTCAGGTAACATCATCATTATGCTGGTATATTGATCTACCCAGGCCAAACAACATGAATATCAAATTATCAATATTTGTCAAGAAATTTCAAGCCAGTAGCGAAAGAAGTAAGCAGAAATGATTTATTTTCAAGCTTACAATTATATTAATAAAAAATGAATATAATATCACAATATCAAATTTTTACACATATAGACTACAATATATAATTTAAAAACTAAATAATTTAAAAAATAACAACCAACACCTGACAGAAGACAAAGTGCTGAGATATGCAGGAATAAGTTACAGACAAAATATCACCAATTTACATTTATTGCACTTTGATAAACTTTAATTCTTCCTTTTGCATCCAACAGAAAGTAACTCTCAAAAAACAGGTGTGGAAACAAAATGTATTATATGTAATAACAAAAAAATGTTTGGACCAGCCTAAAACTATTAATATTTCATGAATAATAAAAACTAATTTAATAACAGATATTTGAACAGTCTATAATCTGGATTTTAATTATGAATAACACAAAAAAATGTAAAACCAGATATGTTGCGCAAGCTATCATCATGTTATCAACATGAGTTTATCAGGCTTTGTGAACTAGCATCAGTATAACCAACTCCTACAACCGGACAGCCCAGGAACACTCACGGAAAAATCATGACAGGGCCAGTCCTGGCACCAGTGGGTGCTGTTCATGCCATGTTTATATTAACTTCAATCATGTTTGGAATTTAATTAATAACTGTATTTATTTCTATATTATATTTGAACCTATGACAAGATTATTGAATAGCAAACATCTTAATAATCAACCTAGAGTTCCATTCAAATATAACAACTTAGTTAACAAATAACAAAGTTATTATACTTGGGTGAAATTGTAGCTTGATGATTACTGATAAGAAGTCATCCAATCTCAATCAGTGTCAAAAACAGAAACTAAAAATATTTCCAATCCTCAAGTCTCAAATGAGATATTAGAGCACTACATACTATATTTACTTAAATAAACTTTCAACTTTGAAGAAACATGCCCAATCCCTTAAATAAATGTATGTTCTAAAATATATGTATGTGGGGGATGAGAGTGAGGGCAGTTTTCACACAACAGTCTTCCACCAAGTGGATGTTTTACTAAAGTGACTTACAAAAAGCAACATTTATATTACCATGTATTCTATCAAGTGTTATGTTCTCTAGTAAAATTTAATGACTTTCTTAATATGTAGTTAAAAGCCCTTCATTCTCACGATATGAAGGGTTTAATTAGAACATTACACATTCAGTTTGCACCAGTAACAAATGCTTTCTTTCATTGCATCCTTCCCTTAAATAAACCTCCCCACCCCACCTTCCCTTGAATAACCATGGTAGTCCAATGTGTGTAATTGCTGTTTGGTGCAAAATAAGAATATTAAGCAAAATTAATATGAAAGAATTTAGTAAAACACACTTCCATAATTTTTTAAAGAATATATTTTTTTAATGGTAAACTTTGTTAACAAATTAGACTCAAGACAATCTAGGCATGATATTGCACAATAGGCATGGTACTGCACAGGCAAGTTGAGTGGCCTTACAGCCTTAACATCGGCACTTCTCGAATAAGGACTTGAAAAAATGGACGTCCAGTGTATATATCTGGATCGTTTGCACTGTGAGCCCATTGCATCTTTCGGAAGAGTAGGGGGTCACCCCGATGTTATGGTTCATTTCAGCCCCATGTCGTTGTGGAATGATGTGAAAATGTAGCTACCATGAAGTGCTTTTTTACGGCTGCTAGGTAGTAACGGACCACGCCCATACACAATTCAGCACAGTGACGCTGCAAGTTATGGGTTATTCTCCTACCTTTACCTTTATGTAATGTATATATTACATGCATTTAAGCCTCACTTAACTCCAAATGTACTCAATAATGTGTTCTTGGAGAATCTATCATTGAATATTATTGAATGCTGTTACCCTCTTGTAAAACACGCTATTCTTCATAGTTAAAAAATAGAAGCACTCATATAACAAATCAACAGTTGCACTCTGTACTACTGCACTCAATAATGTGTTCTTGGAGAATCTATCATTGAATATTATTGAATGCTGTTACCCTCTGGTAAAACAGGCTATTCTTAATAGTTAAAAAATTGAAGAACTTGTGTAACAATTGCATTCTGTACTACCGCAACTCCTCCCCCTCTTGCACTCTATACTACCTTCGAGGCTCCAGTTTGTGTGACATCTGTGTTAGTATTCTTTGGTTATCTATCACTTTCAATGACCTAAAAGAATAATTAATAATTGATACTAATGTAGCTGGGTTCGTTTGTCAAGAATTTCTCAAATCTTTTCTATAAATTTAGAATAGGAAATACAAAGCAAAATCATGTTGTTTTGTTTTATCAATATTGAACCTGCTAGTTACAACATAAGTACAATTGTTTGGATTTATGGTCTCAGAAAAAAAAGGAAGACACCTAAATGAGACAAATAATAATTGGTTCAGATTTAAAGGAGCTAGGAATTAAATACAGTGACGTACATTCTATTTATTTTCAAACGACAGTTCTACTAAATAACTTAGCACAAGTTGTTCCATCCAGTTAATTATTTACCGAATAGACTTGCTATAGTAAAACTAACCATTATTAGGATTAATGTATTCCTTTTTCAAATCATCAATCAGTTTTTGTATAGATATATAAATTTAAAGGACATGCAAATATGTAGTCCAACACGTTGAAATAGTAGATGAGCCTAGTGTCTAGATAGGTAGTCCTTAACTTGTTTAATACACTTTTGTATCGCTCTCAAGCATTAATTTTTTGGTATGTTATCTATTTATATAAATATGCATATAAGATGTTTATAAGTTCCATTGTCAATTTTTAATAAAAAAAATATTATTCTGATTTACATCTTAATTTAAATGTATGGCAACAGCTACAATATATATAAAAATAAATTATTAAATAATACTAATAATCAGGAATGAAATCTAATGGTTACAGGTTAATTCCAAGCTAGACACATTGAATTTGTTGTTAGGAAAGGTACTTAATATGAATTATCGTGATCTATGAATACAATTATATTTTGCATCTTTTTTATTTAATTTCTGCATTTAACTTTTGCTTTTTATGATGTACCTTTATGTGTAATTTGTTAATTGTAAATAAGGTATCTCAAGGCTATAATGTTAAACAGCATTGTATTTGTTGATTTGTGCTTCGTGAATAAATAAAGTTTTACTACTACATACTCCGAAAAAACCATACATGCTACTAAAACAGCAAAGTACAATGACATCTGTTTAAAGATTAAGCAATTAAGATGAAGTGTACAGCACTGACATACTTGTAAACTCTAATAAAAGCAACAGATTTTGTTAACACAGTGAACTTCTTTATGTTACTTGGTACAAGTTAATGTTAAGTTAAACTTATACAGTCATCCGAATAGAATAATAATATTAGCTTCAGAGCATTTAGTGATTAGTAGAACACTCAAGATAATTTACCTAATAAATTGCTGTATTTCCATCACATTCTTGGCAGGTTGCGGTGCTTCACAGATGAATGGCTCGCTGCGACAGTACTTAATTACACGAATCGTTGACGAAATGAGATGCTAATAAAATTACATGAAAAAAAAATCAAGAAATAAATGTTACAAAAAAATAAAATAAACAGACAGTTTTCATTATATTAAATTAAAAAAAAAAACTGCATATTTAGCTGATTCTTTATTGTTAATCTCGAATTCAGAAAACAGAATGATAGACAACCATCCAAAAAACAATCGACTTTAATCAATTGCGACACAGTTTTCTTACCATCTTTTCAAAATTGATGAGACCATCGAAAAAGGTCTTGTTGCCCTCATGGGCAAATGTCATGTCTTTAATGAGGAGTGGCATAAATGGAATGAGAGGAGATTCTAGCTTAGCAACAGCGAGGCGGTAAACACGATGATTCCGTGACGGATCCATTGTGGTTTCAAAGTCAGCGTACATTTTCTTGAATTTGCTCGGCAATTTCTTATGCAAAAAAAAATTCAAAAGTATATTGAAAATATTAGCAATAGAACACTTTATTTATCATTATAGTTTGAAATACATAATATATACTTATGATGTAAATTATACACCAATTTAACATTCAGTTTAAATATACAACAACTTGTTGAATGTAAATATTTTGCATAGTAATGTTGGATTTGTGAGTCATACCCACTTTTCTTCCCCGGTTTTTTTTAATTATTAATATTATTATTATTATTATTATTATTATTATTATTACTATTCCTTCATTCTGGTTTCATTGCCTTTATTTTTGTTATATTTTATACTTTATACCGAATTCAAAGCTGGAATAGTCAGGATTTCTCTTACAACAACAAATACAAATGCAGAGATTATAAAAGCACCACATACAAGCTTCGGTTGATAGAATGACCTTGTTATAGTGTTAAAATATGGTGTTGAAAGAAAAGGTGATAACTGAGTACTATAGATACATAGTAAAAATGTATTGAGCAATTAATTTTTAGTTAGTTATCAAAGTTCACTATTTATTACATTTAAAAATTAATGCTACAGTAACCTACCCTTGTTCTCACTCTGCTTGTTATACTGCGACAAACATTTAAATTTACATTGTAAAATTATTATATAATAATAAATGTGCTATATAATGATTTTAACCTAGTTTTTCACCTGGTATGGTATTAACTCTCTGCATTTACCATACTGCAGTCAACTTTTAAGATTATGATTTAAATATTATTATCAATTTAGTTAACAATAAATGTACAATATAATGTTTTTTTTCAACTTCTACCTTTTAACTCTCTACTTCAATCATGTTGTAGTAAATTTTTATATTTATTTTGTATACTTATTACCAATTTATTTTCTACTTAAGTGACACATAAATTGATAATAAATGTAAAATGGTTAGAAAGTACCTCATGTTTATGAGATATGAGATTACATCAATAAATGATGATTAACAATGATACATGTTAAAATTAATTATTAATTGTGCTTAGCGCATAATGCTAGAGCCTCAATGCGTTCATCTACTTGTCAATATATATTAATTTATAAAAAAAAAAATTGAAAGCCCCAGTAACCAAGTGTGGGTACTCTACTACATAACATTAATTATTTTTAACACTTCTTGTGCAAAAAAAGATAGGAGTAAATGTGTAGGAATTTCATTATCATTGCTATCAAATTAAAATAAAAATATATATTTAATTAAAACAATATATAAATAATTGTGAAGATTACCTCCCAAGTTTGAGAAAGTCTGCTAACTGCAATATTGCTAAGTCCCATTACTATTGCAAAGAACGAGTGCATATTTTGGTAATCCTTGCAACTGAATGGAAAATAAAAGGAAAAATATATCGAATAACTATAATCAATAAAAACTAGACTTACTTTATAATTTAATTGTAATAAAAGCAATTTTGCAATAAATGTGGATTTAAATCATTTACACAATGGATTAAAAAAAATTGTACAATTTCACCAAAATGCATAAAATCATGTAATAAGGGTAAAGATTGTTTAGACTTTACCACAATCAACAACCGAAAGGTCCACTGATTAATCTCAGATAAGAAAGAATAATACATACTCCAAGTATTGAAACACGATGGCGTGTATTTCAATACTTGGAGTATGTATTATACAATCTAAAAATGCATGAGGCATTGTACATGCAACATGAGCAGCCCTACTTCAAAAAGCATTTCTAATTTGTTTATCTCTGTGGGTGTTCCTTTTTTTTTCTGACATATATTTTATTTTGTTGAGTATCTGTAGCATTTGAGATTGTTGTTTGAAAGACCCTGTGACATTTAAATTCACACCACATACTTCAAGTACATTTAGTTTCATTCAAATTTGGCTTCATTCCTATAATAGTCTATATTCGTGTTTATTTACAAAGCAGTTAGAGGTTCAATACCTGTCATATGGAATGCAACACATGTTCACATAAAACAATCACTGGTTGCCATCTCTGATTAAAGATGGCAGTTAAAACATGTTCCTGTATTTAGGACTGCCTACAATACATGATGAATATAAACGATAGACTGAATTTGTTCAGTATCTTACTAACTTAACACAATGACAACATGGAAACAGACACAAAGATACTAATGACAATGTAGGCCTACATCCTAATTAATTTTATCTTGTCAACTTTATATTTTTTTTCTTTTGTATGTCGTACATTTCATGTTCACGTAATTTGGGATGCACCTTTATCATGTAAAGTGTGCCACTGTTTCAAAGCGTAGTATCGAAATAATTTTTTTTTTCATTAACCAAATAAAGGTAAAAAAATACCTTAGTTCCATTGGGGACATTTCATTAAAAAAGAAATTTTAACAAAAATATCTGTCCTATATATTTTGGTATTGAAATATTATTAATAGAGATAAATAATAAAATACTGTATGCAATAATTATCAGTATTATTTAGTTGAATTATATTGCCTATATCTTACCCCTTCCCTCACATTTAATCCCCCACTGATTTTAAAAATCACTTCACTTTTAAATAATTTGTCAAATTTTAAATACCAATATCAATATTAACAATGTAATCAATTAGTGTTGGTAGAATTGTTAGTATAAATACATACTAACCAAACTTATATTTTATTTATATATAACTATTTATTCTTCATCCGATTTTTTGGTTCATTTTTATTGCTGCTGTTTTAATGTGTTTTTTATGTGATTTCTTGTATTCAGTATTTTAATTCAGCTTTAGTTCTGTAATATACTGTTTTATGTAAAAATATATTTGAATAAAAGATACCATGATATCATGAAAGACATATTATGAACTACAACTAACAAACGTTTAAGGTAGAAGTACTCACTATGCAGCAATTTTGATGAATTTTTTGAGCAGTATAACTCGTTTGTTAACACTAGCAGTAAGGCACATTTCAGACACAACCCAAAATTGCACTTCGTTAAATCGGCGTATGAACATATCCAAGTTTGCAGTAATGCGGCCAAATCTATGCCGACCAAATATATGATACACTAATTCATACTGTAGAGAAAAAACAGTAGGAATTAAGTTGAGATAAAAACACTTCTAATTTAGATTTTATTAATAGTTTAATAATTCTTTGCAAAATGCTCTTAACATTTTAGCTAAAAAAATACAATTTACCATTATGTAATATACAATAAAACTATATTCATTTTGTCAAGATCAACATACTGCTGCTGCTGCCAATACCGTCATCATTATGATTTTCCAATACCATGTATCCTCATGTATAAAACGAGGCTTAAAATAGCACCTTATATAGTCCACAATTTACCTCATGAATGCAGTTAAAAAGCTCCCAGTCAAATAAAGTCAACTGAAATGCAACTTCTTTAGAACTCATCAGTTCAAAGGTCACTATGGAATTTGTCTTTGGCCCTGCTTGTTCAGGCAGTGGTACCTGGGTTTGATATAAAGCACAGAAAGTTCAATATTATTATTTCTGTACTATTTTAATATCTACTGCTTCAAGACAAATGACATGGTTTAAAAAAATTCTTTGGAAAGGTGAAGGTTAATGCCACCCTGACAATTGCATGATTTTGGTTCCCGCAATGAATAGTCTTCAGAAACGAGCGTCTTCAGGAAATTGGGCATGCATCAATGTTTGTGCCATGTGCATGCCACTTGCGTGAACCATGTGTGGACACTGCGCAAACTCGGCACGAACACTGAAGACGGTGCGAGTCAATGCGTGTCCTGTCTTTTCTCCTGCTCTTCAAGAAGTAATATTCCTGCAGCTGCCCGATATAGACACCTTCTCAGTTCTGCAATAACAGTGTCTCTGGCATTCAGCATGTTGTATCATCCACAGTTGAGTCGAGGAATAAAGCTAGGTGTGAAACCTACGCTACATATATAGCGTGCCGCCAAGAGGGACAAAGCATAACCAAAAGTTGCCACTACTTCATGCTTACGCGATGTCGGCGGCGGAATGTGGAACACAGCGGGAGCTATGTGTGTCGTGCGTGACACTGCGGGACATTGTGGGATGATGCGGTATGGTAGACGTTTAGCACTCACCAGTGCATCAATATGATCTCTTGAGGATATAAATAATTTGCCATTCAGGCTGAGGTTAGAGGTCACACAAATGTCAGAATCCTTTAAAACAATTCGTTCTGAAAATAAAAAATAAAATCTTTGTTAAATTTCTTAATCTCAATCACTGTTCATAAAGCTGGAAGTTAAAAGTTGAATAACAAAAAAAAAGAAAATATAAATCTTAGAAAAATAATACAGTAATAGTAACCATAATACTACAAAGCTTGTAAAGGGAAAACTCTGAAGGCTCTGACCGTTTGGCAGGACTTATTAAAAACACATAAATATAATAAATTTGCGGGAGATGCGTTAGTTTATGGGAGTTTCTGGCATGAGTGGGGGAGGCATTCTTGATTTCTGAGAGGCTCTTGCGGATCATGGGATACTTGGAACCTCTGTAATACATACCTCCAGTTGATTTGACTTCACAAAGTACAAGGTCATTTCCAACACACAACTTATCAGAAGCAAGATGGACGACGTGGGAACAGCTGGCGTCCATTGGAACACGCACTGTGGTGTAGGTGTGATCAGCACAGTACACCTTGAAGATGTCTGACATCAGAAAATTAACAAGACAGACAGTTAATGCTAGTTCCATAATATGTTAGCTATTCTCCAGTCTATTCTATATATGAAGCGCCAGCCGAAGACTACTGCTCAAGCTCCATGTCCTTGGCTGACTTTCCTTGCATAGAGTAGATGGGATGTTAATGTCACATGTAATGCTAAATAACATTATGTTGGTCAAACCAAGTAGTTACGGTAAGCAGTAAGGCAGGGGGCTATAGTGCTGGTTTCAGATGCTAAATATTACATGTGACTTACTGTAGCATTATGGTTTTTATAATAGACTTACTTCTTTTATATTGATATATATTTCAAAAATGTTATCCTTTCTTTTAGATTTTTTTCTTCAATTGTTAAAATTTCCCTTCAATTTTATGTTTTTTTAAAATTTACTGCACAACTTAGAAAAAAACATTATATGCACTCAAAGTATAAAGGATAAATAACAAAAAAAAAAATTTCACTTCAATCATCAGTATGTAAACAAAGAGAAATAAATTTCACTGACTTTCATCAGATGCTTTGATCGGCTTTCTCATTGGTGCACGTCCTTCTGATGTGCAGTACTCGTTGCTTTGGTTACAGTTCATAAAATGACGAGTTTTGCTACGTGAAGGTGACGCTTTTACATTGCTATCCCTGAACTGCACGATGCGTTCTACGTTGCTAAGTTCCTCGAGGAGTAAGTGGTATGTTTTACTGTCATCTTCAACAGCAGAATAAAGTGTCTACATAACATAAGGAAATGGTGATTAATCAAACTGTGCAGAGCCAAGTCTTAAAGGGCATTGATGGTTTAAAGCCAAATTCAAGCTTTTCAGTTCCATCTGCATCACAATCAATTAATCATTACACCTAACTGTTATCGGTTTATACAAAAATATATCATTATTATTAGATAATTTGTTTAAAATAATATCAAATATGTAAGAAATAATAAACTGAAATATTTGCATTAATTAAAACAAATAAGACAGAAGAAGATTTATAAGAATATTACTGTTTTTTATTCTAGTATAAAAGAGAAACCAAACCTAATTAATAGCTTCAACCGAATTTAAGATATAAAAAATATATCTAAACCCCATGTGACAGCAGAATTTTTTCTCTCGAATAAGATGCTCAAAATCATCCACTCCCCATGTTTCATTATGCTATATATAAGAGAAGGCTACTCTAATGTTTAATGTTTAAGATCGTGAAGGATTAGTAACAAAATGAAAGATTTGATGAGAAACCTCAAGGAATGCCATGATGGTGGCGTCCTCTTTGAAGGCATGTCCTGCTACAACACTCCAATGCCACACTAAGCGTAGCACACGCTGTTTATTATTCATCATGTAGTCATGCTTCTCTTGCTCTGTGCCCAGCAACATTAACGAATGATAAGTTAGCACAAGTCAAGGTAAACCTTCATGATTGACAATGCATAGATTAAATATTCACAGGTTATAAAACACAACTAGGGGTAATACATACCATAGGTTTGATCATGGAGGAAAGAGCAGTGGCGGCAACAGCGGGGGGTGGGGGCAGCATGGGCTTAATTCACCCACCAGACAGGTCAAGTTCCCCCTCTCAGACAGAGCTTGTCGGGCAGTTGGACTAAAACAAAATATAAAAATAGGCCCATGCCAAGCCAACACACGTCTGTCACAGTTTGAGATTGTCATTTCTGGCCATCCAGAGGTTGCTATTCTTTAAAAAAATCTCATTTGGCAGGGGAAACTCCTCTCAAACCCTTCCCCCAGCTCGAGCCTACTAGCTCAAGTCCACCCTGTTGGACAGATCAGCCCCCCAAAAAAATAAATACGCCACTGGGAAAGAGCCCAACAGTAATGGATAGTGAGATCACCTTTGTTATTATTTTATTCTTTATTTATATAATTTAAACACTGGAACCTATCAATTTTCCATAATTATGTATTTGTATGAATGTAATACTGACCAAAATAAAATATTGAAATATTGAAGTCTGAACCAAGCAGATAGTAGAGCCTCGGTCAGGTTTCCAAAATAAAATTCCTAGTGGAGTTTATAGGGAGAGAATATATATTTAGCACGGCCTAAAAATTGCTTTTTGACCACAATATTATGGATTGTGAATCATTAATCATTTTAATCATTGTGATCAATTTGGTGATACTAAAGGATATTGTTCCATGAGAGCAGGGCACAGCTGGTTACTTGGCATGAAGACGATGTGGGTTAAGAGGAAATCCTCGAGGAACGTGTCCGTTTCATCCTGATGGCTGTCAATTCTTGTTTCCAATAAATGTTCTAACATCTTCTCAGGTGTGCCAGCCATCACTGAATACCTGTAGTATATTGATTCAGAGTATGAAAAGCATTAGAATTACTGTACAATTAAAAAACATGTTTAAAAGCATATGTCAACTTTGATTGAACATGTGGCCACTCATATAATAAACCAACCTGAATTGAAAATATGGGAAAACGTTTTGTTAACCTTTTTTTCATATTGGTCTGCACCAAGTTTTATCCTCAAAAACCGAAAGGTCCACTGATTAATCTCAGATAAGAAAGTATAATACATACTCATTCCTGATGATGACATAATTAATGTCGAAATA